TTTTTGGTAGAGACGGGGTTTCACCATGTTGACCAGGATGGTCTCGATCTCTTGACCTCGTGATCCACCCGCCTCGGCCTCCCAAAGTGCTGGGATTACAGGCTTGAGCCACTGCGCCCGGCCATCTTACCTTTTAAAAAAAAATACGGCTTTAGTTGATGTTGCTTGCCATTGCTTTTCTGGTTAAGTTTATACTGATTTGCCCTGTGGAAATATATGAAGATACGTGGACTTTATAATTTAGGCTTGAACATACTAGTTAAAATGTTGAAGGGAGGATGTTTATATCCTCCCTTGCTTTTACAAAGTGTATCTCAGTTTATAGCATATAAATGATATTTTATTTCTGTAGGCATCAATTTTCCTTTCTCTCTAGTTCTATGATAGCCATTTATTCTTTCACTGTATCAAGCTGCTGTTAGAGACTGTGGTGTAAAGTGAAGGATACTCTGAAATGAAAACCCATTTTTTTGCTTTTATTTCAGATGTGGTAGTGTTAAAGATGGCTCCTTGGTGGCCTGTGCATTTTCTCCTGATGGAAGCTTCTTTGTCACTGGCTCCTCATGTGGTGATTTAACAGTGTGGGATGATAAAATGAGGTGTCTGCATAGTGAAAAAGCACATGATCTTGGAATTACCTGCTGCAATTTTTCTTCACAGCCAGTTTCTGGTTGGTTATTTTATTCTTTTAAGCACTAGAAATTCCTATTTGTAATTTGTGCTATATATGACTTTTCATTCTTGTATTTTTATGTTGTCATTAGTAAAGTGAGGAGCCCTCTTTATTTATTCCTGTAAAGGGATTATCCTTATCTCTCTTTTGACCAAAATGAAATTATAAAAAAAAATGAGAAAAATCACTTTTTAAAAAATTTTTATTTTGGGGTCTCTGAGTTTCCTGCAAGAAAATTACGTTCTTTATTATATGCAGGGGGAGTCTGTTGTGATTATGTGTGACTGAACTTGGAACAACAGATTCAGATTCCTTGGATATGGCAATTTAGAGGACCTAACCCTATTGGTATAATTGCAATAAAAAAAAACTATATTGATATTCAAATTGAAATGTAAACTTTAAAAATTGGAAATAGAAGCTATGTTTTCCATTTACTAATTTAATCTTCCAAAAGCTACATTTATAAAATAAGATGTTTGCCAACACAATTAATTTTTTAGAAGGAAACAAAACTGAATATAGTCTGTTGGTTTTAAATAGGTACAGTGAATTGAAAAGTTCTTTCTTTAAAATTTTCATTTTCCATATTAGGATGGGAGTTCTGTAGCTTTTGTCTGCTGCATTCTTGTTGCCAAACCCATTTTATCCATAGCAACATAATGCAAGCCATTTAGGAAAATTTAAAATGTTCTAGTAGTAGATGAAACTAATTTTAATAATGTATCCCAACATATCTATAATGTAACTTCAATAATTGATAATAAAAATTAATAAGATATTTTATCTTTTGTACTAAGTCTTTGAAATCTGGTGTGTATATTGTAGATAGCACATTTCAATTTGGACTAGCTGCATTTCAAGTCTTTGGTCCACACGTGGCTAGTCAGTGCCTCATTGGACAAAACAGGTCCAGAGAGTAGACAGGATGGTTTTGGTATTCCCCCCTTTTCAGGCCCATCAATGGCTTAAGGTATGGTTAAGATAAGATCCCAAATCCCAAAAGCAAAACATGTTCTGCTTCCTCCTAATCTCATATCGCTCTTGGTCTCATGCATTTTTTTTTTTGCCACACTGACCTTCTTTCATTCCTGGAATGTTTCTAAGATATTTCCAATTGTTGTATGTGCAGACCCTTTACTTGGTTTGCTGTTATATCCTTTAGAATTTGGCTGAAAAATCACTAAAGATGAGCCTCTCCTGCTCTTAACCCCTGCACTCAGTCTGTATAATTTTGATAAAATTTTTTATTTGCATACTTTATTTTTCTTTTACAGTACTAAGTATCAGAATGTTTAATTATATATTTATATGGGTAATATTTAATGGTGTTTTTTGTATTAGCTTGTAAGCTCCAGGCAGGCAGAGCCTGGGTCTCTTTTCTTCATCGTGCCTGATACAAAGTAGGCCTTGAAGTGTAGATTGATCAGTAAGATTCCTTTTAATGATTTGCTGAAATAATAGATTTTCTTTTCATAAGCCCATTCTTATGTTGAACTCCCTTCCTAATTTAATTAAGACAGTTATTCTTTTAATGTATTGTTCTGTGCTATTTTATTCAAAAAACAGCTTGTAACAAGCCATTGCTTCCATTTCTGTGGTACCTTCTCCACATCTTGTAGGCACTCAATGAATCTGGTGAATTATATAAGTGTGAAGAGATCCAGGTTCCTTTTTTGGTTCTAAATGTTCTGAAGATAGATTCCCAATGAAAATACTGTTATACTAGTTAATATTATAATAAAAATAAGGGCTTTTTTGTCCTGCATTTACAAAGATTGGTTGCTTGTGAGGTCAGGAAAGGCTCACTAAAACAGGCAGAGAATTCTAGGTGAGATTCTGAAATGATATCCACATTCTCACCCTGCCTTTAGAACATATTATACACTTCTCTTGGTATAATTTTAATCTGTGTGCCTTCTTTAGTTCCTTTAGTGTTTCTGTTGAAATATATATTAACCTTATGAGTAAATTCCCTGAAACAAATTGATATATGCTTTAAGGTGATTATTGTAAGAATTTGTGGGAACAACTGTATTTATTTAGAAGATAAAATATATGATTTAAATTTGTTTAATTTGGCATCTGTTAATATCTTTAAATACTTATGACATATTGACTCATCGTGTGACATTTTGCTGAAATAGGGAAAAATAATCCTGTTGGCACCTGAGAAGAAATGATCAGTTTTCTCCAGCTTTTAAATGATAAAATGTGGGTTAGATTATTATCATAATTTAAATATTTTTCATGAATAAAAGTATGTTTCTAAGTATTATATTTAGATATTGAACATAGGCACATTTTAAGCTGTATAATTTGTCTTAGCTGAATTTTCTCTACTTAACAGAACTTCAGAATTCAAAGGATTAGTTAAGGAACAATGAAAAAAATAGGTTTGCTAGTCAGGTTTAATACATAAATATTTTGCTCTCAGCCATTTCTTGAATAAAATATTTTGCCTTAAAAAGACAATGATTATCAGGAATTGCTTGTATCCCTCAAGATCTCTCTTAGAAAGGATACATTTTGGGTAAACCTATGCTGCAAAATAAACAAATGCTATTGAAATATGGAAGTCCCATGGAGTTAGAAAAGCTTTCAGTGAAATGGAATTTAATTTGTTGTTTGCTAATAAAATGTTTGTACTTCTAAAGAGGCAGAGAGTCTATAGAAAAAAATTTACATGCCTTGGTGTATACATTTGTTAAATTTTATATACTGAACATTTGATAAGCCAGAGTGCCATTTTAAGATGGATATTAGATCTCTGTTTTGGAGACAGGGTCTTGCTTTGTCATCCAGGCTGGAGTGTAGTGGTGTGATCATAGCTCACTGCAGCCTCAAACTCCTGAGCTCAAGGGGATCCCCTGCCTCCACCTCCTAAGTAGCTACAATTACAGGTGTGTGCCACCACACCTGGCTAATTGAAAAAAAAATTTTCTAGAGATAGTGTCTTCATGTTTCCCAGGCTGGTCTCAAACTCCTGGCCTTAGCCTCCCAAAATGCTGAGATTACAGACTTCAGCCACCATACCCAGCCTCGATTTCTTAATTGTGCTTTACTGTGTATGAGTGCCAAAACTTACTTGATGAAACTGCGTGTAATATTAGATGCAACTTGTGTAAAATTGCATTGATGATATCAATATTTACATTATCCAAAATTGTTTACAAACTTAATCTAGTAGATGTATAGTAATACACTAAAATTAAGTAAGTGTAAAGTAATAGGACTTTTGTGACACCACTTAACTGATTACTTTCCCTAAATAGTATAATATTTTTAACCAAATGGAGTGAATTGATGTTTTTTTTTATAACTATAATTCTAGCATTTGCCTTGATTAAATACAATGGAAAAAAATTCCCATTATTATTCCATGTGATCTATGGACCAGGCTTTTGAGAATCGACATGACCTTAAAAGAAGGCTGGGAATGATTAAACAGTTAACACTCTTATCGTAACTGACATTTCTTCCTAATTTTTCCCATCAATCCTAGCCTCATAGACTCTAAAATTGACTTAGAAGGTGCTCTGTTTAGTGGCACAATACTGGTTCTTGCAGCCTTGAATTATATTCTTTTGAGTAAGGTAAATAAAAGGTATTTTATTGTAGCAACTTGTGGACTAAAGTTATAATCCTGTATAGTAGCTAGTTTAAAAGAAATTCTTTAACCAACATTTTGTTAAATGGTATAAGTTAACTAATAACTTGTGAACGTCGTTTAAATGAGTAGAATTAACAGATCTCAGTATAAGAAACGGAAATTTTTTGCGGTTTAAGTGATTCACAAATTCTCTGTATTTATTTTTAACAAATTTTAGGTGGAGAACAAGGTCTTCAGTTTTTTCGATTGGCATCATGTGGTCAGGATTGTCAAGTCAAAATTTGGGTTGTTTCTTTTACCCATATTTTCGGTATGTATGCAAAGTAGCACATCCCTGAAATTATTTGTGATCTGGTTAAAATTTCTATTTTATCTTTTTACTTAACCCTGGGTATCTAAAAGTGAGTATAACAATATGGTTTAAGAAACTGAGTCAAAGTAACACACATGATTTAAAAATCAGATGTCATTGCTGTTCATGACCTCACCTATAGCACTGCCATACACATTTCTGCATGGTAATGGTGACCACTTTGCACTTGGTTTCAACCCCTTTGGTAGTTTTCACAGTTTACGTTGTTTATATCACTATTTTTTAAAAAATTTATTCACTGTAGTTACTGCTTTTTGATAGTGTGTGTGCCTTTTTCCATCCTTGTACTATTCCATCAGGTGACCCTTTCAGTCAGAAAGCTTATTTTGTGCAGTTTTGGAATAAAGTATTCTGTTATGTTATTTCTTTAATAATTCCTTCTCTGTTTTACTCTCTTTTCACAACTTCCATTAATTGAGTGTTGGACCTCCTGAATTGATCCCTGCCCTGCCTCCCCACCCCCCGGCCACATTTCTCTCTCTCTTCTTGTACTTTAGGGAAGAATTTCTCTGCTTTTTCTCTTTACCTTTTTTTAAGTCTTTTATCTCAATTGTATTTTCAAATTCTAAAAGCTCACCATCTTCTTTGTTTCCTTTTTGTAGTGTCCTTTATAAATATAAGATCTCAGAACTCTGAGGATGTCATTTAGGAGTTTTTTGCTTAAGTTCCCTTCTGTTTTCTGATCTGTTTGCATTTGGGCCCCCTTTTTGCTTAGTATTCTGTTTGCATTTAAGAATTAGACAATGTTTAGAAGCTCTGTGTGCAGGGATGGTTTGTTATTGCTGGCTTCCCTTTAGGATGAGGAGGTGGGTGGTTGGCCCTTCTGGGTGAGGGGTTGGGGACTTAGGGAGTGGATACTCTGTCACCCTAGAGCTTCCCAGGCAGTTAGTTTTTTTTTTTTTTTTTTTTAGAAAAACTTCAGAGAAATTAAATTTAACAGTTTCATTAGGAAAAGGATGATTGGTAAATTGGGCAGCCTCCAGAACCAGAATTTTTGAAAAGTTTTGCCAGGGTTAAGTGCTTGGCTTTTGTGCAGCATACTAAGAGTGAAATTGGGGAGGGATTAGAGGTGGACACCGAATGGTCTATATATAGTCAGTTCATTTTTCTGTTTTCAGGTCTATGTCTGTGCCATTCTAATTTTCCTTTTTCCTGGCTATTGGTATTCTGGAACCTTGAGATATTTTCTTCCTCCTCACCCCACCTCCTCTCCCTGGTCTTGCCCTGGCTAATTTAAAAATTTTTTTATATAGAATCAAAGTTTGTTGCTCAGGATGGTCTCGAACTCCTGGCCTCAAGTGATCCTCTCACCTTGGCCTCCCAAAGTGGTAGGATTACAGGTGTGAACCACTGTGCTTGGCCAGTCTTGGGGTGTTTTCTAGGGCAGAATAACTTTCTTCTTGGCTGTACCCCCGTCTCTTTGCACTGTGGGCTGTTATTCCTTTATACTTCCTCATTAATCTGTTTTCTGCCTTCCCAAAGTTGATTTCAGTTTCTGGTTTGCTGATGCCCCTCTTCCCACTCTCTTTTCCAGTGTACATTTCTATCTTTATTAATTCTGTCATTGACGCTTTCATGGGGAATCTGAAATTTTGTGGTCATCTTGATTGATTCAGGAGCCTCAAAATGTTATTATTTGTTACCTAATAAGCTTCAGTTAAATTGCAAATGTCATTTTTGTGATTCATAATTATGCTAGTGTATAGACAGGAGCCTTTTATCTGGAAATAAATATATTCCTTTTTTGATGGAATGTTATTTATTGCCTATTAGATTACATTTAGTAGTTATTTTAACATCTGACATACTATAAGAGTTTACTTCTGTGGTTGATCCCACCTCTTCTGCTTGTTTTCTTTTACCAGAAATAAAATTCTGATAAGAAACTGTAAGTACATGCGTTTGTGTGGGAGTTCTAAAAACAACATATCTTTAATAATTGTTCTAAAGTAAAACCTTTCACATATTTACTGGAAAATATTTTGACACTGACTTTTTAACAAAAACATACATGACAGTTGATAAATGTGTGGTTAAAATCTTTTCATAAGGCTAGGTGTAGTGGTTCACACCTGTAATCCCAGCACTTTAGGAGGCTGAGGCAGGAGGATCACTTGAGGTCAGAAGTTCAATACCAGCCTGGCCAACATGGTGAAACCCTGTCTTAACAAAAATACAAAAATTAGCCAGGTGTGGTGAGGTACACCTGTAGTCCTAGCTACTCGGGAGGCTGAGGCAGGAGAATTGCTTGAACCCAGGAGGCAGAGGTTGCAGTGGGCCAAGATTGCACCACTGCACTCCAGCCTGGGTGACAGATCGAGACTCTGTCTCAAAAAATAATGATAAAAATAAAACCTTTTCATAAAGCATTTATCACCATTTGTACCTTATCATTTGCTTATTTGTAGAGAGGAGTAGAGAGACATATGGGTCTTATAACTTGAGGACATAACCTAGTCTTATGGTTGTATTAACGTATAGTGTTAATTTGGTTTGCAACTTAATATGCTTGCTTTGTTTGATTAATGGTGCCTGCTTATTGCTCTATTCCCAGTTAGAATTAAAGCCTTTTGAAGTTCATCATTGTATTTCTAGCACTTAGCACAGTGCCTTTAGTGTGTGTCTCTGCTCTCCGAGATAAAAATATATTTTATTTCCTGTTTTGAGCTTCAAACTTTTACTTACTCTGATTACCTTTTTCTTTAGTTAAATGCTTATTATTCTCACTAAGACATTTAACACTTCAAAAGCGTTTTATTGTGTCTGACGTAGTTATAAATTTCACTTGTGTATTTCCTTTTTCTTCCCACAACCCCTGCCAATTTCTTAATATTTATTTTTATAGGTTGTCACCAAAATATATTGAATTCCCTCAGTTTACTTTTAAAATAGTTGTGATATTTATGCTTAGTAATTCTAAAAGCATAAAAAGGATTTTAGTGTTATACTTTGGAGGAGTGTTATATTTTATAAAGATAATATTGGAATTACAGGATGTGTAAATTACCATTGATTATTTTTATTTACAGAGTGAGAAAATATTTTAAATGCCAGATTTTTCAAAATATAAGCATTTTTTTAAAGTCTTTTGGGCAATTGGTATATTTCGTTTTTATGAGACACTAAAACTGTGATATAGTTTAAATGTTTAAAACTTTTCGTAATATGAAATTAGCCCATCTAGCCTTTGTTGAGCTCATTTTTTAAATCCATTACTGAGCTTTTGAAATGTGAGACTGAGTACAAACACAAGAAGCCATGTTTGCTCCTTTCTGCTTGCCAGCATAATTTCACAAAGCCCCTGACTCTGTGACAACAGAACTCTCCGGAAGAATGCCTGGAAGACAAAAGAGGCGAGCACACAGTCCCCCACGTCTTTTGCCAGTCCCCCATGTCTCTTGCCTGAGTCACTACATTCCTTAAAAGATAAATGAACCCAGCCTTGCCTTTTCTTACCTGAGATAATGTCTAATGGCGTTAGTGATCATGCTTCTGCAATCTGTAACCAGATGTATGCTTACACCCAACCTTGATGTGATTCTGCTTTAATGTAACTTCTGTTTGATGTGATTTTGCACATAGTAAACCTCCACCACCTGTATATAAGCAGTGAGCTGAAACACCGCTTTGAAATGGTCTCGCAGACTGCCCTGTAGCTCTCAGGCCATAGGCCTTAGTCTGTAGTCTTCAGTAAGACTTCTGAGTAAAACTACTTTAATTCTTTAAAAGCTTGACTTTTTTCTTTAGTCAACAGAAACCAGTTACTCACACCGCATTCCATTTATTTCCTTATAGATATCTGAGCTGCATGAGGGTTTTTAATGTTTGTGTCCTTTAGGCACTCAAAGATTATTGAATACATAAGGGAAATGGTGTTGACTTAAAATCAATTCCAAGCATGGTCAGCTTGCTATTCTCTGTTACCTTGTTATTTGCAGGTTTTGAATTAAAATATAAAAGTATGCTGAGTGGGCACTGTGCCCCTGTTCTGGCTTGTGCTTTTTCCCATGATGGGCAGATGCTAGTCTCCGGGTAAGCTGGTTTAATTTTCCTAAGCCATTTTTATATGAAATTGAAAAGATGTACGGAAAAGTACGTGAAACCTCAAAGAATAGCTTGATGAACCACCACAAAGGTCAAGAAGTAGAACTTTGTTGGTTCTACCCCAGAAGCCCTCCCCTTCCAAGTGCCCCTTTTTGGTGACAATGTGTTAGGTCATATACTCTATTGCTTTTTTCTTTAAAACTGACCTAAAATTAAACCATATGAATTATTTTGTCTGGCTTTCTGTACCCAACGTTACACTTGTGACATTAATTCATATTATTGACTGGAGCTGTGGCCCATTGATTTTCATTGCTGTGTAATATTCCATGCATGGATACATTATAATATATATACTAGTTCATTTTAATGTTAATGGTTATATGATTGTTTGTGGTTTGAGAGCATCACAATAATAATTCTATGAGAATATGTTGTATGTCCTGGTACACATGTTCATGCATTTCTGTAAGATAAATACGTAGGAATGGCTTGGTTGAGTCATAGAATATGTGCATTTTCAACCTTGGCAGATAACAATAGTTTCCAAGTGGCTGAACAATTAATACTCCTATAGCAGTGTTGTTTTATATCCTAGCCTATACTTGGTATTGTGAGTTTTTAAAATTTTAGCCATTCTGATGAGTGTGTAGTGTTGCCTTACTATGGTTTTAATTTGCATTTCCCCAGAACAAAGTGGTTGGAACCTTTTTAGAAGTTTATTAGACACATGTATTTCCTCTTCTATGAAGTGCCTGTTCATGTCTCTGGCCCATTTTTTTTTTCCTGGGTTATATTTTTCTTATTGATTTGTTGTTGTTGTTGTGTGTGTGTGTGTGTACACTTTAATATTCGAGCTGTTTGTTGCTTTTTGCAAATATCTTTCCCACCCTGTAGATTTGCCTTGTCACAATTGTGCTCTGAGGTCATGAAGATATTTTTCTATATTCTGAGACCTTCATTGTTTTGCCTTTCACATGATTTATGTGTATGATGTGCAATACAATCCCATTTTATTTCTTTCTATGTGAATATCTAGTTGTCCTAGCACTATGTATTGAAAAGACCACTTTTCTCCTCCATTTTATTATACTCCCTCATCAAAAATCACTGACCATTTATGTGTGAGTCTGTTCCTTAACCTGCTACTTTGTTCTGTTTCTGTCCTTGCTCTAATATCATTCTGTCTTTCCCAGGCTTTATATTTTGTCTATTCCTATCTATTGACATGCTCCTATAAATTTGAGAATTAACTTGTCAAATTGCCCCAATTCCTACCTCCACACACACAGACTTGTTCCGATTTTAATTGGGATTATATAGAGTCTGATGAATTTGGGGGGAATTGACATCTTTATGATATTCATCTTGCATCTTTCTTTGTTTTAATTTCTCTCAATAATTGTTTTCTATGTAGAAATTCTCATCTTTATTAGCCTTATTTCTAGGCACTTGTTAGTATATAAAAGATGTGGCGAATATGAGGAAATCCATAATGGAAATAAAATGGACTTACCTAGAAAATTTCTTATTTTGGATTATATATATACAAAATCAGATCATTTGTAGATAATGATGGTTTTGTTCCTTTCTAATCCTTATGTCTTTGGTATCTTCTGTGCCTTACTGAACTGCTGATACTACCAGGCTAATAAAAGCGGCAATAACAGGCCTTGTTGTCTGATTCCTCATTGCAGTGGGAAAGGTTTTATTACTCAATACGATCATTGTAGGTTTTTGAGATAAGCTTTATTCTTCTATTCCTTCTAGTTTGTAAGAGTTTTGTTGTTGTTGTTTTTAAATCATGCAAGGGTGTTGTATTTCATCGGATGATTTTTCCTACATCTTTTGAGATGATATAATTTTTCTCTGTTACTGTTAGTGGAGTGAATTACATGATTTTTAAATGTTAAACCAACCCTGCTTTGTTGAAACAAACATATTTTAGGATATATTGTTTTTGTGTGTTGTTATAGAGAAGTTAGTTTCATTCTAACTGTTGTGCCTTTGGATGTAATTCATTTTTCTCTGGCTGCTCATGAAATTTTCTGTTTTGAGGTTTTTGCACATCTACTTTGTATCTACATATGGGTTTCCTATTTAGTTTGCTTGGAATTTATTGAACTTCTTAAATCTGTGGAGTGATATTTGGCAGGGCTTGGTGATTTATGCCTGTAATCCCAGCACTTTGGGAGGCCTAGGCAGGCAGATCACTTGAGCTCAGGAGTTTCGATCAGACTGGCCAACATTGTGAAACTTTGTCCTACTAAAAATACAAAAATTAGCTAGGCATGGTGGCAGGCACCTGTAATCCCAGCTACTCAGGAGGCTGAGGCAGGAAAATTGCTTGAGCCCAGGAGGCGGAGGTTGCAGTGAGCTGAGATCATACCACTGCACTCCAGCCTGGGTAATAGAGTAGGACTCTGTCTAAAAAAAAAAAAAATCTGTGGTATGATATTTTACCACTTTTGGAAAATTCTTATTTATTATCTCTTCAAATAATTGCCTCTGTTCCTTTCTTTCTGTCCTTTACTTCTGGGATTCCAATTAAATGCACATTATACTTTCTCACTGTAAACTTTCTCTTTTGCATTTATTATGTGTGTGTGTGTGCACGTGCGTGCGTGTGCGCATATGTGTGTGTGTCTGTTTCATTCTGGATGGCTTTTTCTTTCCTAATTCATTCTTCAGCAAATGTGATATTAAATTGATCCATTGAATTCTTAATTTTGCTTATTTTATGTTTTGGTCCTAGAATTTCTATTTGTCAGTTTTTTTCTATTTTGTCACTTTTTATGATTTCCAGTTTGTCACTTTTTATGATTTCCAATTGTGTGTTGAAATTTTCAACCTTGGCTTTTATTTTTCAAACCTTTATTCTGTTAGGCAATTGGCTGGAACATAGTTACATGATTCAATTACTTTATACTCTTTCCCCTTTGAATACTTTTTTATATTTTATCCTTGCCATTAGATTTTCTAAAACTGTCCCGTCTGATCTCACAGGTCATAGCATTCTGACCCACATTTATGGCTCTTCATAGCAGCTTTCATTCCAGTTAAGATACTTAGGCTCCTAACCTCCACTTACAATGTCTGGACTAAGCCTGATGGTTCATTTTTCCATATGCTCCAATTCTTCTTGCCAAACAGCCAAATTACCAGTTATGTTGTCAGTATTGTAGACGTGGTTCTTTCATCTCTAAAGATGAAGATTATTCATCATCAAAAAGTATTTACAGTATTGTCTTTTGACCTAGAATTTAAATCAATGGAAAGTTTAAACAAATAAAGTGACTCTGTCTACTGTTTTATGTGCCCAGCTCTCTGTCAGTTGCAATAGGACATAGAAAAGGAAGTATAAGTGTGTGTGCTCTTGAAGACATTTTAAGTCCCTTCTTTCCTAATAGTTAATGTTCATTGTGATGAACTAATAATACTTCAAGACCCTGACATGTACTTACCCTCTGAATCACGGAAGAAGTGTTAAGTGATAATGTTGTTTTAAGTTCATTTTATAGCAGTATAATTCTTTGCCAGTTTGTATATATGTTACTTTTAGTTAACATTTATGGGATTGTGTCCTTCCCAATCATTCTGGATAAATGGAAGTTTACATTATTAAGTGCTTTTGGGTATATGGTGTTTTTTTCAGAATATTTTTAGTTTATTTGGATAAATGTACAGGCAAATGAATGAGAAATGTAAATTAATAAACTTAATAAGTATTTCGTTTTTTAGAAGAATTGACAGGCATATTTAAATCATACTTAGTAGATAAAAACAGATGAATTAGTTAATGATAGATTCTATTTGTGACTAAAAGTCATTGATAAGATAGAATGGATGCATATGGGAAAGAGGAAGACTGGAAAAAAGTGAGTGGATAAAAGATGGCTGTATATGAACATAAGTGGCTAGAGATGAAAAGTGAATGGACGACAGAATGTGGTTGTCGGTCGGAATGTATACTAAGGGCTGGGTGTGGTAGCTCATGCCTGTTATTCCAACAGGTCAAGAGGTCAAGGCAGAAGGATCACTTGAGGCCAGGAGCTTGACACCAGCCTAGACAACATAGTGAGACCCAGTCTCTACAAAAAAAAATTTAAGGAAATTAGCTGGGCATAGGGGTGTGTTTAGGGCATAGGGGTATGTGCCTATAGTCTCAGCTACTTGGGAAGCTGAGGCAGGAGAATCCCTGAGCCCAGAAGTTTGAGGCTGCAGCAACCTATGATCATGCCACAGCACTCCAACCTGGGCAACAGAGTGAGAACTTGTCTCTATAAAAAAAAAAAATAAAAAGGAAAGAAAAAAGAGATGTACTAAGGAAGGTGTATGGGGCATAGATAAGGATGGCCTTGTAAAAGGCAGTGTAGAATTTCTATGCAGATATGGGAAGATTGAGGAACAGAAAGGGCATTCCAGGAGGCAGGAAATTCTTGAGCAGATTAAAATGTGTGGTAAACAGTCAAGTAAATAAGGAGAAATGAGGCCAAAAAACAGATCGTAGAGATAATAGAGAACCTAGGATGGACCAGGCATGGTGACTGATGCCTGTAACCCCAACACTTTGGGAGGCTGAGGCAGGGGATCTCTTGCACCCAGGAGTTTGAGACCAGCCTGGACAATATAGGAGGACTTGGTCTCTACAAATAATAAAAAGTTAGCTAGGCATGGTGGTATGCACCTGTGTCCTAGCTCCTCAGGAGGCTGAGGTGGGAGGATTGCTTGAGCCTGGCCGGTGGAGACTGCAGTGAGCTGTGATCGTGCTACTACACTCCAGCCTAGGCAACAGAGTGAGACCCTGACTCAAAACAAACAACAAAGAAAACCATGAGAACCTAGGATGGTGTTAGAACTTGTTCAAACCTTATATATTAAATTTAGGAGAACTTCTGAAACTTTTAAAGCAGTTCTAATATGCAAAGCCTAGCTATAGGAGATAGATGCTAATATATTGTGAAGTGAAGAATTGAATCATGATTTAG